AACACATGGGATATTCCTCTCATGACACTGAGAGTGGATGATCCTCTATCGATACTCAATAGCCCTCGTAAGGTTGACTACCACTTCCGATGACCGGTTGTACTAGATCTGGGACATCCAAACCTATAAATCAAATATTAAAAAATGGAGCACTCATATAGGATATCCTTGGTGTCTCAAATCTAAGGACCAAATATACCACTAGGACTACGGAATTGTTATCTGACAATAAGGTATCATCAACCATCCAGCATTCCATAAGCGGATCAATCATTGAACTCATTCTCCAATGAGCATCTATACTGTATCCCTAGTGTCCCCACATGAGCAGCTATGAGACTAGTTGTATCCATCATATCGATGGGTTTATAGCACACTAGTCTGTCCGGTTATCTCGATGTCCCTCTCGAGTAATCTATGACCGGGATTATTTAGGATCTATGTTTAAAGGCGAATCGGTCTCATTATTGTGATCTCATCATAATTCGATTTTCATTGCACAGATCCAAGGACATCACAATATATACATGCATATATGCAATAGTCAATATAAAGTGATAAATACAAAAAATATAATAAGCAAAAAGATTACGTGTTAAGTTACACATGTCATCACTCACGTGATTGGCTTGTTGAGCACCTATGACTAGTAATCTCCCACTTGACCTAAAGCCAATCACTTATATGTTTGATCCCCATCAAACCCTTGTGACACTCAAAGATATATGAGACAACGGTTTTGTCAATGGATCTGCAATATTATCTTCGAATGGAACTCTTTTCTCTACTACTTTTTCTTAGGCCACGATCTCTATAATAAGCTGGAACCTCCTCATAACACTTTTGATGAGACCTATGTTCCCTTATTTGAGTAATTGCCCCTTAGTTGTCGCAATATAAGGAAATCGGCTTCTCGCTGCCTAACACAACTCCTAGATCTGTGATGAACTTTTCATCCAAACTCCCTCCTTTGTTGCCTCTACTATAACAATATATACATGTGAATCGATCTAATATCCTAGATAAAGGTGAATCGGTCTCATTATCGTGATCTCATCAAAATCCTATTTTCATTGCACAGATCCAAGAACATCACAATATATACATGCATATATGCAATAGTTATTATAAAGTGATAAATGCCAAAATATAATAAGCAAAAAGATTGTGTGTCAAGTCACATGTGCCATCACTCACGTGATTGACTTGTTGGGCGCTTATGACTAGCAGGCCCAACTTCCGATTCCTCCTACTTCAATCAATTTGCCTCTTCTTGATCGAAGCTAGTCCTATGTCACTCAAAACACATATTAGATCACAAACTCATCAATTGATGTCATCATCAAAATCCGAGATTCAACAATCTCCCCATTTTTTGTGATGACAATCAATTGATGATGAAATTTAAACTAAACTCCCCCTATCAATATGTCATATTGATATAAACTTTGAATTCAGAAAATAATGACTATTTCATCATTGCATGCATTATGAATATTGAAAGAACCAATTAATCACATCACTGCATGCATCTTAAAATCATGAGTATTTCATAACATGTTCAAAGTACACCATGTATGATCATCATCGTAACTTCTCCCCTTTTGTCATCAATAAAAAGGAGACGTGCAACTAACAAATTTTTGAAATATATAATCTAATAAGATAGCAAGTTTTGAATATGCAAGCTAGCGAGTTTATGAGATATGAACTTAGCAAAATTTTGCTTCTCTTGAGATTGCAAGATAGCAATTCTTGCTTCTCTTTTGAGATAAGTTTACAAGTTTTCCTTCTTGAGTTGGACAAGATAGCATGTTTGCTTTTGCTAGCAAGTTTTTGATAAAGAAAGTAAAATAGTAAATTGTAAGTTTTGCATCATTTTAGAACATGCAATCTTCATTTTAGATTGAGATGTGTAAATAGTAAGTTTTACGAAGATATGTAAGTCTAGCAATTCTTTGCTTCTTGATTGGCAAGATAATACTTTTACTTCTTTTTGAGATGTTTAAATCTAAAGATAGGTAAAATAATATTTTTTTGCTTCTCTTTTAAAATATGTAAGTTAGAAAGTTTTACCTTCCTTTAAAATGTGCAAGCTAATATTCTTTCTCCCGCTTTGTTATTGTTAGAAGGATGGGAATAATATAATATTATAAATATTTTTCCTTTACATCAATTTTCAAACATGACATAAGGTATACAACTAATACAAAAGAATTGTAAATATGAAAATCATGACATGAAAGATATTAATATCAAAGATCATGAAGGATCAAGTCATGATTCATTTTGATAAGTCTTTCTTTTGTAAATAGCAAAAAGAAATCTTAGGAGTTCAAATATTAGGTAATCTTTAAAGAAATTCTTAAGTTATCAATTTTAAGAAATCAAGAGAAAAATCATGGTTCATAAATATCCTCTTTAACAAAAAGAAACATAGGAGAACAAGGATCTTGATTAAAAAAATCTCAAGTATCAAATTTGAGAAATCAAGAATTTGATATAGATAAAACTCATTCAAATTCAAATAATCAAAATCACTTTTAAGAGATTCAATAGAGATAGAAAAATTTTCAAAGTCCATTCCTTATTAGTTATTTCAATGCATGTGATTGATTTTATATAAGTATGCCTAAGTTTTTTTTTTATGTCAAAATCATGCATTATATTTAAAACTGAAAAACAAGATTCATCATAAAAATCATGAAGACTTCAAATTATAATGTAAAATTAAATTATTAAATCAACAAGCATGATTTCATTAAATATAAAATATTTTTAATCAAAATCATTTTGTTTCGATAAATGACCTTTAAGATGTGTGTTGGATCTTCGATCATAAATCTTAAGTATTCACTATTAAGATATTATTTTTGCTCTTAGCTAATATTTCTACAAGAAAGGTGAGTTTACTATAAGTACCCATTTGACTTTGGATCGCTCATGATTAGATCTACCTATCTTGTTTTTTAACATAAAATCATTTATGATTCCTTTAGAAACCCAAACTAATTTATACAAATCATATCTTTTAAATGAACATTTATATGCAAAATAATCATATCTATCATAAAGGTTATATTTATTTTTAAAAAAACATTTAATATAGATCTTTTAACAAATGTGATTGACTTTTATTGTAATAATATTTTTTTCTTTTTGCATGAATCTAAAGATTTGGTATGACTCTTTTTGCATCAATCTTTTCTTAATTTTTTTTATTTCCTAATTTTTGTACTTCACGTTCTCTTTATCCACCAATGGCTTATCTCATCAGCCCATACGCCCAAACAGGATTACTGTAACACCCTTTAACCTCCCTCCCTAATCATGGATCCGAAGTTCAAAGAGAATTGTCGCTCACTAAAATTTGCATCATGATGATAAAGTGGATTAATTATATTCGGTCCGATAGCCCTGTTTCACCGTGCATGTAATCAGATGGACCCATTCAAAGGCAACACACATAATTACACTGAAAAACAATAAGCCACTTGCAAAAACCCTTAACTATTTATGTCAGTTCAACCCTATCTCTGAGAACACGGGGGCGTAGAAAATCACCTGAATCGACCGTCAGAACCATTGGGTTTCGCCTCCATAAGAGCTTAAAACATACAACCCTTCCAATGAAAAAAAGTGGTACAAGCCATTGGATGAATTAAAAAAAAAAAGCTAGACTGAGACCCTTTTGACCACATGAAAAACTTGCATTGAACAATGCTAATCAATTACACAATGAGACAATAGGGCAGCATGTAACATAAAAGGAAACCATCTTTCTAGCTTCCTAGGAGAGTTTTGCAGGCATCAACATAATAGTCTCACGAGGTAAATAAAAACTGTGTTGCATCAAGTTATGACAGCAGAATAAAGTTACATGACTTGATGTAACATCATTAGTAAACAAATGACAATGGTGCTGATCTGCAGACCAGTTTTTGCTAAAGCAGGATTCATGAGGTTTTGATGTTCTACTAACATGTCAGAATAGACAACAGTTGATGAACCTCACAATATCTAAAGAAGATAAACTAACCACATGCAATCCCAGACCTACATGTGTTATCACAGTTCCAGCCAAGTCAGGAAGTAGCCATTTAAGAAACCATTAATAATACTTGACATGCTTTCCATACTGTGCCGCTTAAATATCCTACAATACAATACATTGTTGAACCACATGTCCGAATAACATAACTTCAACTTCTTAATAAAAAAAGCATACGAGAATAACCTATTATCATGCTTAATATTTGCATCAGATCATAATAGAACCAGAAAACAAAACTAGTAAGAAAGCAACAGTAGCATATCAAGATTTTCAAGTTTAGTTTACTTGCTTTCTCACAACTCCAGGTACAGCAACTACATACATAACAGAACCTCAGGGTAAACAGGGAAAATGCATCCAAGTCATCCAAGAAATGGACATATGTAATCTTAAACATAACACCAACCATCTCAAGTGAGCCCAATAACCTCGACATGATCAATAGCGCCGATGAAACCAAGCATTAGTGAATCTGAATGACAAATGCAACATCCAACCATCAACGTTTCAAGGCATGCTCGCTTCAAGCGAACGCCACAACTTTGTGACCACACTTCCTCGATGCTTTTGCACCTCATCTCTAAGAGGCTTCGTTTTGGTGACGTCAGAGGCAATACTCAGCGCCGCCTGTACAAAGGGAATGAAGGGAACAAACGATTATGCCATTGACAAATATCTGACCTACTGCTACCATTGGCATATTCCCTACTCAAACAACAGTTAATTCCATCCAAGATGCCTCCACTAGTCTTTATATCCCTACTCTTATCTTACATCAAAGCTACTGATGTAACTTCGATGGGAATACATCCCTACAACAACCGTCAGATATCTGGAAGCAAGAAACATAACACATCTTTAAACCTATACTCACCATAAAAGAACATAGCTAGTGCTAAGCAGTATAACTAACAAAACATACAACATTCCCAGTACTACCAAGTGCTAAATAGAATACTAAAGCCAATATCACAGATATTATAGTTAACTACATTATCCAAACACAACATAATAAAGGCCTATAAGCTACTCTAGCTTGTAACTAGAGGCAAAGCTAGGGTATAAAAGTTCTAGAAATATAGCTGCGGAATAACACATCAAATCACACCAAACTTGAGAACTGGAAGCTTCTAGAACAATAATATGAGGTACCCACTACTCCTCAAAACTACTACTTATTTTATACTAGGAAGAGAATTGCAGTTTAACTACTGAGACCAAGCAGTCCAACCCGGGATAGATCTTTTTCTTCCCTTTGCCAAAAGCTGGACACAATGGCCCATGAAACATAAGAGAGGGGCATTAGCTGCAAAAGAAAGAAGGCATTCCTCGTTCTTGAATACCCCTAGTTGGAACTGAAATCGTTCTGCAGTTACTGCTGCTGGGCTTGCCTGCCCTGAGAACCTCCATAACCACCTCCATAACTTACTGGGCCGCCAGGGGGCCCATTTGCCTGAGTAACTCCATAGGGTGAAGGGTCAGACCTCCAAGAATTTGGATAACCTGCGCCTGCATTAGCATCCCCATAACCACCAGCCATGTAAGCAGAACCTACTCCTTGTTCACCTGAATTGCCTGAAGGATTAGAAACTGGGCGTCCACCAGAAGACCCATAGCCACCTTGATTACCATAAGGCCCTTCTGACCCTCCATATGTACCATAACCATAACCCTGACTCACGTATCCAGGTGTTACACCTTGACCAGTTGGTGCTGCACCAGATCCAACACTTGATGCTGAAGCATTCCATGAAGAGGCTGGACCATAAGTTGTGCCTCCCCCATAGCCTGCAGAACCATAACCAGTTGGAGCTTGATTACTCCAAAGGTTCCTCTGAGCACCTGGGTTGCCACCTACATAGCCAGCAGCTGGAACATTCGGATTTGGATAGGCCCCAGTAGGTCCACTATACCCAACAGTAGCATTTCCATAGCCCCCAACACCATAACCCGCATAACCAACACCATTGTTAGCTGCTCCATACCCATAACCAGGAGTGCCATAGCCAGAGGAACCGTAAGTTGGATACCCACCACCTGCTGCTTGAGGTTGTGCATACCTATTAGCATCCGGCGTACCATCATAAGAACTAGTGTTACCACTTGAACCACCATAGGGTTGATAGGGCCCACTTCCCATTGACCGACCACTGCCAGTGTTTGGATTTGCATCTTTAGGAAGGGCACGTTTGACTTCCACAAGCTTGCCATCCAGATCATGAAAGGACTTCTGAAGAACTTTATCAACAGTATCCTCTGAATCAAAAGAGATGAACCCAAAGCCACGAGGACGATGTGTGTTTTGATCATACATCACAACTGCATCTGTCACAGGACCATAGGACTCGAAGTACTCACGAAATCCGTCCTCAGTTAGAGTCGGAGGCAACCCTCCAACGAATATCTTCTTGGTCCTTATGTTTGCACCAGCAGTTGTTCCAACTGACCTCCCAACAACAGGGTTTCCTGATCTAGCAGATGTTTGCTGCTCTTCTCTTGAAAGGGCCCTTTTAGCTTCCACCTGGAGATCAAATTAAGATGTAGAGGAAACCCATAATAAATGCAATTCATAAATAATGATTCTGTAACAAATGTTTTCTAATATTAGAAGATAAATCATCATGAAAAGCAATAATATGTATCAACTGAGTATGTATGTGGAGCATCATAGGTAAGACACAAGGATTCAAGATACCTAAGAAGCACAAACATGAACACGGGACACCGGCACGATACGACACGAACACGATGAGGACACGTGTGTGTATGTGTGTGTGTGTGTGTGTATATATATATATTATATTATATAAAACTCATGTTAATCGAATATATATATATATATATATATATAAACTATAAATTATAACTATTTGAGTAATATATATTGT